ATCAGTGAACTAAAATGGACAGGAATGGGTGAATTTAATGCAGATGACCATCAGGTATACTACTGCGGGCAAGAATCCCTCAGAAGAAATGAAGGAGCTTTCATAGTCAATAAAAGAGTAGGAAAAGCAGTACTGGGATACAATCTCCAAAATGACAGAATGATCACAGTTCGAATCCGAGGAAAACCATTCAACATCACAATAGTCCAAGTCTATGCCCCAACCACTGGTGCTGAAGAGGCTGAAGTTGACCAGTTCTATGAAGGCCTAAAAGACCTTCTAGAATTAACTTCAAAAAATGATGTCCTTATTATCATGGGGGATTAGAATACTAAAGTAGGAAGCCAAAAGATAACCGGAATAACAGGCAAGTTTGGCCTTGGAGTACAAAATGAAGTAGGGCACAGGCTGGTAGAATTTTGTCAAGAGAATACGATGGTCATAGCAAACACTCTTTTCCAACAACCCAAGAGACGACTCTACACATGGACATAACCAGACGGTCAACACAGAAATCAGATTGACTATGTACTCTGCAGCCAAAGATGGAGAAGCTCTATATAGTCAGTAAAAACTAGACCAGGAGCTGACTGTGGCTCAGATCATGAGCTTCTGGTTGCAAAATTTAGGCTTAAGTTGAAGAAAGTAGGGAAAAGCACTAGGCCACTCAGGTATGACCTAAATCATATCCCTGATGAATATGCAGTAGAGGTGACAAATAGATTTAAGGAATTAGATCTGATAGACAGAGTGCCTGAAGAACTATGGACGGAGGTTCGCAGCATTGTACAAGAGGCAGCAACTAAAACCATCCCAAAGAAAAAGAAATGCAAGAAAGCAAAATGGCCGACTGAGGAAGCTTTACAAATAGCTGAGGAAAGAAGGGAAGCGAAAGGCAAGGGAGAAAGAGAAAGATACAAACAATTGAATGCAGAATTCCAGAGAATAGCTAGAAGAGCTAAGAATGCCTTCTTAAATGAACAGTGCAAAGAAATAGAAGAAAACAATAGAATAGGGAGGATCAGAGATCTCTTCAAGAAAATTGGAGATATGAAGGGAACATTTCATGCAAAGATGGACATGATAAAGGATCAAAATGGCAGGGACCCATATATATATATAGGCACCAAAGGAGGAAAAGGCTTTGTGTGTAGCTCAGGTCTTGCAGCTTTCCTTATTTATAACAATCTTGAACTTAGAACAAATTCCAGGGTAGGCTTTTTGGACAAATTTCAGACATATGAAAATGGAGCACTTTGAAAGTAGAGTGTCTGCCACTCCTTAAAATAGAAGAACCTGCTTTATATTGATCAAACTACTACTCCAGTATTTCCCACTCTGGCTTCCCAAGATGTCAGGCAGAGATCTATCACCTGTTTGCCAGCAACTGATCCTGGGATGTTTTGCATGTTCTACTAATGAACATAGTGACAGATTTTATTTTCCTGGGACCCAAAATCACCACAGACAGTGACTGTAGCCAAGAACTTAAAAGACGCTTGCTTCTTAGGAGGAAAGCTATTGCAAATCTAGACAGCATACTAAAAAGCAGAGACATCACCCTGCCAACAAAAGTGCATATAGTCCAGGCTATGGTTTTCCCAGTTGCAATGCATGGCTGTGAAAGCTGGACCAGAAGGAAGGCTGAGTGCCGAAGAATTGAGGCCTTTGAATTGTGGTGCTGGAGAAGATGCCAGTTTGCAGGGGATGGAGTATGAGGCGAGACTGAGGGAACTGGGTCTCTTCAGCCTGGAAAAGAGAAGACTCAGAGGGGATCTGTTGGTGATATACAAGTATGTGAGGGGATGTCACATGGAGATGGGTAGAGACTTGTTCTCCCCTGCAGAGGAAGGCAGGATGCGCTCCAATGGAGCCAAGCTCAGGGAACCAAGGTTCAATTTGGATACCAGTGTTTAGGACACCAAGGGTATGGAATGGGCTTCCATGGGAGATGGTGGAGGCCCCATTGGTGAGGGTGTTCAAGGATTTATTTATTTATTTATTTATTTATTTATTTATTTATATTAAAACATTTTTATGCCGCCCCATTCGCCGAAGCCTCGGGGTGGCTTACAACAATAACCTCGGGGCGGCTTACAACAAGGATGGGCTGGACATGCACATGGTGGGCATTTCATAAGCGGAGATGGCTGGAGCCGGGGGTCAGACTAGATGGCCCAGGAGACCCCTTCTGACTCATTCTGTTTCTATGTTTCTATGACTCCTGCGAGTCCCTTGGACTGCAAGGTGATCAAACTGGTCAGTCCTAGAGGAGATCAACCCTGGCTACTCTTTAGAAGGCCAGATACTGAAGATGAAGCTCAAATACTTTGGCCACCTAATGAGAAGGAGCAACTCCCTGGAGGAGACCCGGATGCTGGGAATGATTGATGGCAGAAGGAGAAGGGGACGGCAGAGGATGAGGTGGCTGGATGGGGTCACTGGGGCTGTGGGTGTGGGCTTGGGTGGACTCCGGGGATGGTGGAGGACAGGAAGGCCTGGAGGAATGTTGTCCATGGGGTCGCGATGGGTCGGACGCAACTTTGCTAAACAACAGCAACAACTAATGAATAATGGTTCCTGCTGGCAAGCCGTGTGGAATGGCTGACAGAATGGCAGGCATGGATTTAAGTTTCACGTCTGCAGCAGAGTCACTGAGCGGCCTTGGCGATGTCAGGACAAAATGAGCAAAAGTTTTGCCATAACATGGCTGCTAAAGGCCTGACCTTGTAAGAACAGGTTTAGCCTTAAGACGGGATTCCTGATGCAAGTCTCGCATATACCTCGGAAATGCTAAGGACCCTGTCCTTTGGAAGCACACGCTTAGATCTGCTAAGGGTTTGCCTGTCCTGGAAGATCTTCTCTTTGTGTTGCCCGAACCCCATTCAACCCTTCTGTTTGACCCTAATGTGCCTTTAGCAAACTGCCCATGTGATCCCCACCACCACCCAAACTGTGTATGTAGCTGCGAGGTTTCAAAGGCATCTTGTGCAAACTCCATTTCTGTCGTCCCTCAGGGACTACCTACATGCTGCATGAACTTCCCGTAGGTCTGAATAAGCTAAATTTTCTTTTGATTGTACACCTCTAGCAGACTCTCTGGCTGTCTCCCCCCCCCCCCCGCCCACTCCTGTCAGTAATTGGCAATTATGGTTTCTTACCATCAACACAGGAATAACAATAGTAGCCTACCTCAAAAGGCTTATTAATATCCTTTCTTTCCCTCCAAAGCAAATGATACTTTCATGTAACAGCAATCCTGCGAGGTAGGATAGGTACAAAGTGACCATCCCAAGGCCCCCATGGCTGGTGAATGCTGGGAGCTGTAGAACTTTTTCTGTCTAAACATCCCTAGGATTGTGCCCTAAGCTTGCCTTCACAAACAAAACAATGCTGTAAACAGATGCCAGCCAAAGACATCTTGCTGCCCGAGGCAAAGCAAAGATGGCAGGATCCCCCACAATACTTGTCAGAGCTCTCCTTCCTACTGCACCCTCTGGAGCCCTTCCCTGCGTGTCAGCCTTGTGGGAGGCTTGGAGATTGGCCTCTCCTTGTCACAGCCACCAGGCCCAGCACAGAGAAAGAGGCGGACAGACAGTAGAGCAGGTTGCAATACCGAAGAAAAATAGCAAGTTCAGGGAGCTCCAGTCCATGTGCCCCTGCAGTGGTAGGGGCCCTGGGCAGATGCCCAATCATGCCTACCAATGGCGCTGGTCCAGCCCATGGACCACAGAATGGTTTAGGCACCTCCGGGCAGAATAGGCGGGCGGGGAGGGGGGATCTGCAGCCCTGCCCTCAAGAATGGGGGCTGCCACGCCCATATCTTCTTTCTGAAATGGTTGCCTCACTCTGCCTCATGGGAGGGCTGGCCCTGAGCAAGGTGGCAGAGGATAATTAATTCGGAGGGAGAGAGAAGGATTTGGAAAGCGGCGTTCCTAGATGACCCATGGGAAGGAGGCACTTTTCCAGCAGCGTTCACCCGGCGCGAGGAGACCTCCTTCCTTCCAGCGCCAGAACAGCAGCACGGACTGTCATGCCACTGGGGGAGCGGAGGTGAAGGGGACCCCCAGCCACTGGGGTGGCCGTGCCCGTGCGGGCCCCAACCCTCAGGAGCCCACGGCTGGGGCTGCCCGCGAGGCGCTCCGCGGCTCATTCATTGGAGGGCTTCTGGCATCCTCCACGCCGCCCGCCCACCTGCCTCCGTTGCATCACCTACCTTTCCCCCCGCGTCAATCCGCCGAGCCCCTGGCACAGGCGCTGGAGAAGCACGGAGCGCGGCGGGTCAATCCGAAAAAGCGGGGAGGGGGAGGCGGGAGGGAGCAAAGCCCAGCCTAGCAGAACGAGGAGGAGGAGGCGGGGGAGCGCAACGTTTCCTGGGAACTGTATTTTGCAGGTGTCGCTTCTGCAAGCGTCGCGTGACGGGGAGGGAACTACGGCTCCCAGGCGGCTCCGGGACGAAGCCCGGGAGCGATCAGCTGGTGTTAAAGGGGTCGCGACGCTGGACTCGCGGCTGGGGCTGACTCGGTATGCGGGCATTTATTTATTTATTTGTGTGTTTGTTGTCACGCTGCACGGCCAGCCCGTCTCCGAAAGGCGCCCGAGGTGGTTTCCGCAGTCCGGCGCTCGCTGCGGCAGCCTGGGGCGCGCTCGCCCTGCACCACCGCTGGAGGGCTGCGGTCGCGCTCTTGCAGGAGCCGGGGAGCCGGGCGCGTTCCTTGGCCAAGGCGTCTGCGGTGCCTTTAGCAGGAGAAAAGTGAGTGACCTCCCGCACACACGCCCTCGCAGCCCTCCTCTCCTCTCCTGCCCCTGGCTTTCCCCTTCCTTCCCCTCTCCTCGCGCGTCGAGGAAGCACCCCGAGAGCGCAAGCGGCAGCCAGCCGGCGCGTCCATCCCTGCGCTCGCTTGCGGGGAAATCGCCCCCAGCGATGTCCAGGCACCAGGGCGAGTGGGACGCAGGTTTGGCCGGATTCAGAGGGGTCTCTTATCAGCAGCGGGGACGGAGCTGCCCGGGTATTTCTGAACGTTTTCCCCGCTCCCCTGCCGCAGTTCTCCCTTTTTAGCCCATCCAAGGAGGCGAGGTGTGTCCATGGCTATGCAGATCCTTGAGTGGAACCTCCATATTCGGTGGCAGTGTACCTCTGAATATCAGGCACTGGCTGATAGAGCAGAGGAGAGGGCTTCCCAGAGGTATCTGGCTGGTTCCTGCCTAAAACAGAAGTTGGGCTATTCTGTTGAGCAAATTCCTTCCGGGCTTTATCTCCTAGCCAAAGCTGTGAAAGGGAGTGAGATGGCAGGTGGTTTGGGATGTCATTAAAGGACAACAAATTGTTAAGTCATTGCCATTTTTACAAGTATTATTGTTGTACTTTTATTGCCAGAGAAGGGTAGGGATCATGGTTTTTTTTCCTGGCTCCGGTGCCAGAATATCTTGGCTGGCATTGGAGTCCATGCACATGATGACTAGTCTCTGCATGCGTTTGGGGCGGGGGAATTGGCTCCATTTGTTCCTCTACCACACACTGCAAAAATACCCTGGCTGACCATATTCCTAGCTGTGGGAGATGAGCCCTGTAATGCCACATGTAGCTCGTTTTCTCAGGAGTGACTTCATCTCTTCTGGGCTGAGATCTGGGATTCGAAAGTGATTCAGAGCTTGGATTACTTCTAAATTGTTTATGCTGCTTTTCCCTACAGCTACTGTGGTAAAAGGCTGACAAGTACTTCAGTAACTATATGGCAAGGATTTGGCAAGACAAGAAAACCTGCCAAAGGGGCGGGGGGGGGGGGGAGGCCCAATGCATACACCAAAGTTTGTATTGAATACAGTGATCCACTATATGGCTGGTGAAGAGAGGCCGATCTTTTATTCTGCCTTTCTCTTACCCTCTGTTGCACTCACTTTCTATTTCTACTAAAAAAAAAAAAAGATCAGCAACTGAGGGCACAATCTTGTGCATCCTTTTTTAGACAGAGGAAAAGCCTAAAAGTCCTAGCATGTGTTGGCCAACCACGCAGGCTGGGGAATGCTGGGAGTTGCAAGGATCTTTTCTGTGTAAATAGGACTGCACCCTTAGAAACAGTGCAATCTAGGTTATTTCCACATGTGCCATCACCAAGCCAAGTCTCCCCAATCCTGTGCTTGCACTTTTGATTGTTTTCATACCTAAATGCAAGGCTTTTGCTTTAGTTGGTCATTAAAATCCCCCCTAAGCCTAATAAAGTACTTGCCCAGAGAACTGTCAATGAGCAGATGGGGGTGTGACGTCCCTACAGTGCTTTGGGTACAGCACTTGCACCCGAGGTGATGGGACTAAGAACCTGGAAGAGCTGTGCTGGATCAGACCAAGGGCTCACCTAGCCCAGCATCCTGTTCGTACAGCGGGCAAACACTGCCTCAGTGGGGAGCCCATAGGCAGGACATGAATGCAGTGGCACTCTCCTGCCCATCTTCCCCAGCAATGGACGTGCATAGGCCTACTGTCTCTAGTATTGGAGATAGTAGCCACTGATAGTCTTGCCCTGCATGGATTTGTCAAATCCCCATTTAAAGCCATCTGCATTAAGATGGGACATGATCCAGGCTTCAGTTCACACAATGGCCCACTGGCTGCCCATAGGAAACCCACAAGTAGGACAGGAGTGCAACAGCACTCTGTTGCCCATCTTCCCCAGCATCTGCTTCTGATATTGGAGGTGGCATAGCGCCATCAGGACGAGCAGCCACTGGATAGCCTTCTCTCCCGTAACTTTGTCCATTCGCCTTTTAAAGCCACCCAGTGGCCATCCCTGCGTTTTGTGGTGGCAGATGCCATGGCTCCACTCTGTCCTGTTTAAAGAAATGCTCCCTTTTCTCTCTTCTGAATCCCCCAGCCGCCCCCTTCATGGGATGACCCTGCTGCATTCTAGGGCTGAGAGGAGAAAACTGTCCCAGAAGAGGGCCGCTCTCAGAGGAGCCCTGTCAGTCACCCCTCTGTCCTTGCACTTCCTCGGTTTTCCTATGTGTCCCAATTAAAAGGGTAAAGCCAAGGTGGGGATGTTCTAATCTGCTGGTAGGCAGGGCCAAAATATGAAAAGCCTCGGGACATTTTAGCTTGAAGCCAAGGGAAGTATTGCAGCCTGTTAGAACTGGGGAGTGGGGTCATTGGCACAAGTGGTCCTCAGGCAGAGGGAAGGTTCTGCATGAGTCCCAAGGAGGCGAGGTCCTTCTGCAGTTCTGCCTCCCTCTTCCTCACCCTGTGAGCCCGCACATCCCTTTGTGTTCTTTAAAGTATTTATTGACATCCTTTTTTTAGCTGAAACATTCAAGGTGAAATTCAGGAAAAACTCACCAATAAACTCAAACAATTAGGATACTAAAAATATACGAGACAATGAAACATGGGGTCAGTTCACAACATCTCCATTTTTTTCAGTCTTTGATTTTGTCTTTAGAATCAAAGGGAATTAGTTAGGTACTTAGTCTGAAGTGCAGAAGAAAGGAGACTCTAGATTGTTGGTGGAGCTTTGGACTTTGCTTTGATTTGGGATAAGTGGCTCCTCAGAGATGGCATTTGGTAGCACTGAGAGTGTTGGTCATCTCTAAGGAGACCGATCTAACTGCTTCTCAGTTTTGACTGTTTTTGTCCCACTCAATGAGAAGTTCTGCAGATCTTGGGCATTGCCTGCCACATCCTCTCAGTTGTGGGAAAGATATATACTGTAAACTGTAGTAATTTTTAATATTTATGCTGCTGAAGTTAGCACAGAGAATGATATGTGAATGATATGACAAATCAATCATATGTTTGGCAGTTAAGTTTGGGTGGCCCCCTCAGAAACTTATTGTGGCCCCCTAGAAATATGGCACAGCCCCATGGGGGGGCCATGGCGCCCCATACGGAGAACCACTGGATGGAAATTTATCTTTTTTGAATACTGTAGAAATTGAAGCAGTTGGCAGTTAAGTTCCTCCTTCACACAGCACAGCTTCTTGAATTTGCTGGCCGAGATATGGTCATCCTCATGACTGTGGTTGGTTTATGAAGCTGGGTGAGCAAATTCAAGGAAGGTACGTCTGTCCAGGGCTATCAGGCACGCTAACTAAAAATCCTATCTGTGTTCACCGGCTGCAGCCAGATGCCGAAGGCAAAGGAGGATGTTTGCAAGGGACATTTGGCCACCCCATCGCCTGAGAGAAAAGTGCTGAGTCAAGCGGGGCTTTGGTTTGATCTAAGCATGACAGGGCTATTTTTTAAAATCCTGCAGAGATTTAAAACTGGGCTTCACACAAGGTAGATAAACATTCTGTTGTTGTGGTATTTTATAATCAAGTTTGTTAGAAGAACCACAGAGTCACTACTTTAAGCCCCTTTCTTTCAACCTCTGCAGTTTTCCATTGGCTCATCTTTCCATTTCTTATGTTTGAAGGAATGCAGGCAGAAATCATAGGTATTTCTTCCAGAGTTGTGTGGGGAAAGAACTGATGATTCAGAGAGATACTGAACAAACTGATGCTTGAGATACTGAAACCCAAGGTCTTGATTTTATGCAAATTTGGTTGAGAGAAAGCCCCATCAAACACCATGAGGCTTACCTATGAATAAACATGCAAACGACAGGGCTGTCGCTTTGTTGCTTTTCAGTTTTGATTCAGATGAATGCCTTTGCCAGATGCAGAAATCAAAATGCGTCTGGCACCGATGCCAGTGCCATGACTGAAGTTCATTTTCCCAGAATATGTGCTTGTCTCAAATTTTGCATGCATCTGCATTTTTCAAAATTGCATTAATTATTGACAGACTGCTATTTTGACTTGAATCTGCAATATTTATCCTTTATTTTCTGCATTTATCTATGCTGCCTTTTCTTCCAAGGAGCCCGAGGGGGCACACACGATCCTCCTGTTCCACAACGCTCAACAGACTGACCTTCCATCTGTGCTAACGATTTACGTATTTGCATCCTGATGATGCCACGAAATCAGAATGTTCTTAGTGGTTCATTCAAAGGCCTTGCCTTGAATTTATTGGGGAGCCATAGGTACTGCTCAGCAATATGCAGGATTGATCCCAGGTTGTCTGGCTATCCTGACAGTGATACAGGAACATGGTGATGTCATGTTTTGGCAGACATAGGAGAAGCAGTTCAGAGAAAGGATGTAGGACAGAGGAGTCAGGGAAAAGTTCTTGTGGTGAAGCTTTCTCCTTCTCTTGCTGCTGCTGCTGCTTCTTGGTTCCATTTATATCATCCTTTTTTCCCTCTTGCAAGGAAGCCAGGGTGGCCTTCGTGATGGTCCAGATCCTCTCCATTTTACCCTAACAATGACCTTGTGCAGTAGGTTAGACTAAGAGTCTGTGATCAGCCTGAAGTCACCCTGTGAGACTGAATCGGGACAAGAACCCAAGTCCCAGTCCAACTTTCTAGCCACTCTATCACACTGGCTCTCAGTGTGAGGAATAAGATTTAATTGCTGTTAAGGATACAGGGGCATGGAAACTTCTTTATATTGAGTCAGGCCATTGGTCCATTTAGCTCAGTACGTTCGAC